TTTTTTTTTTTGCAGTTTTTGGCTGGGGCTGGGTTTGAACCCGCCACCTCCAGCATATGGGGCTGGTGCCCTACTCCTTTGAGCCACAGGCACCGTCCAGAAATCTTATCTTTGAACCCCAAGCTGGGGCATCTGAGTATCTTGGCTCTTCTCAAGAACTTCCTTCCAACTCAGTTTTGTGGCTGTATCCACTGAAGGCTCACATGTTTGGACTGAGAACTTAAGTGGGCAGCACTTGCCTTACAGCCACCATCATTTGCTTTTTTTGGTGTTGGTTCCTTAGACGGATGGGGTCCCGAGCAGTTATGAGAACCCAAGCCCAGCACATAGGTGTTTTCCATTTGACTGTCATAGTCTATGATGGCATGTGTCTCCTTTACACTTACCTGTGCAGAGAACCTTCCCAGGGCCCGGTTGGTACAAGGCCCCTTTTCTCTCTTGTTCTTTGCCCTCTCACAGCCTGATAGAAAGTGAGAGTGAACTAACAGCTTTTAGTGCCCCTGGTGTGTGTAGACAGGTACATTGTGCTATCTCTTAGAGCAGGATTTCTAGCGGAAAAGATTTGTACAAAACCAAGGAGAATTGGCTTTGGGGCCAGGAGCAGGATGCACTTTTGCTTAGTGCCTGCTGACACCAGCTTCATGGCACGTAACAGTCTGGCGGGGCTCTGCTCCATCCTGCAGATGACAGCTTACAGGGCTTGTTCTCCTCTTGCAGTTAGTATGGGGTGAGGTGGGACCTGGGTCCTAGTTGGTGTGGCTTCAAAGTCCAGCTTTCTCACATCATGCTGTCTTCTGCATTGCATCTCCACCCTCCCCAAACTATCCTTCTTCTCCCAACAGATACGAGAAAATGACCAGCGGGATGTACCTGGGGGAGATTGTGCGGCAGATCCTGATTGACCTGACCAAGCAGGGCCTTCTCTTCCGAGGGCAGATTTCAGAGCGTCTCAGGACCAGGGGCATCTTTGAAACCAAGTTCCTGTCCCAGATCGAAAGGTGATGTGTGATCAAGTTCAGTATGAGAGGCTCCGACTGGGATGTGCTGCTATCATACTGGGGTTGGGCTGATTTTAGATTTAAAAATAAAAACAGAAGGCTGGTCATGGTAGCTCATGCCTAGCACTGTGAGAGGCCAAGGCAGGTAGATTGCTTGAGATCAGGAGTTCGAGAACAACATCAGCAAGAGTGAGACCTGGTCTCTACTAAAAAACTAGCTGGACTTCATCGTGGGTCAGCTCATGGCCAAACTGGGTCCATCTCTATACTCCTGTCATCCCCACCCCCAGGTTAAGTTAATTTGAAACATTTCTTACATTTTATTTCAGTTCATCTGTAAGTATTTCAAAATGTATTTCTAAAATATAAGGGTTCTTTGGCCCAGCATGGCTGCTGCTGCCTGTAATCCTAGCACTCTGGAAGGACCAGGCAGGTGGACCACCTGAGCTTAGGAGTTCAAGAACAGTCTGAGTGGCTGGGCGCCTGTAGCTCAGTGGCTAGGGAGCCAGCCACATATACCCAAGCTGGCGGGTTTGAATCCAGTGTGGGCCTGCCAAACAACAATGACAATTATAAACAAAAAAATAGCTGGGCATTGTAGCAGGCACCTGTAGTCTGAGCTACCTGGGAGGCTGAGGCAATAGAATAGCTTAAAGTCCAAGAGTTTGAGATTGCTCTGAGCTGTTACTGAGGGCAACAAAGTGAGACTCACCAAAGGCAACAAAGTGAGACTCCATTTCAAAAAAAAAAGAACAGTCTGAGCAAGAGCAAGACCCCATCCCTACTAAAAATAGAAAAACTAGCTGGGTGTTGTGACAGGAGAATTGCTTAAGCCCAAGAGTTTGGCGTTGCTGTGAGCTATGACACTACAGCACTCAACCCCTGGGCAACTGAGTAAGATTCTGTCTCCCCCCCCCACACAAAACAAAACAAAACAAAAAAGAATAAAAAAAGTACTTACTGTGCCTTGAACTTCTTTTGGAAATGATTTAATTAATAATCTTTTAAAATTTTCACAGCACACCTAAGATCTTCTCATGGCACACCAGTTGAAAATCACTGATTTATCAGCTGGATTACCTCTAGAAAGAGGAATATCTTCTTATCAATTCTTTGATGAAATTATCACTCTGGGCTCGGCGCCTGTGGCTCAAGCGGCTAAGGCACCAGCCACATACACCTGAGCTGGCGAGTTCGAATCCAGCCCGGACCCGCCAAACAACAATGACGGCTGCAACCAAAAAATAGCCGGGCGTTGTGGCGGG